GAGCGACAAAGCACATATACATGACTACAACTCATAAGCAAATACAATGAAGCATTTTGAACATTCAATAATTTATACATTCAATAATTCATCTAAACCTACTATAAACCAGGTGATTTTTGAAGACAAAAGTTTTCCTTAGAATATAGGAAAAAAGAGAAAGATGTAGATTTTTCAGGTTCAGTTCAGTTCAGTCGCTCAGTTGTGTCCGACTCTTTGCGACCCCATGAATCCCAGCACGCCAGGCCTCCCTGTCCAACACCATCTCCCGCAGATTACTCAAACTCATGTCTATCAAATCGGTGATGCCATCCAGCCATCTCATCCTCTGTCAGCCCCTTCTCCTCCTGCCCCCAATCCCTCCCAGCATCAGGGTCTTTTCCAATGAGTCAACTCTTCGTATGAGGTGGCCAAAATATTGGAGTTTCAGCTTCAGCATCAGTCCTTGCAATGAAAACCCAGGACTGATCTCCTTTAGGATGGACCAGTTAGATATCCCAAAACTGATTATGTAAGAGAAACTTAGTTTTATATTTAGTTGAAGAAAGTGTGTCTTCCAATGAACTGATTTCAACCTGCTTTTACATTTTATGGAACAAGGGTCTAGATAAAATGTAGTCAGGGTACAAGGGCAAGTAGATTGACTATAATTACATATCAACATATCAACAGAATTCTGTTCAACTGATCCAACTTAACCTGTAAGAAGGTCTCTATTCTTAAAAATGACTTGCATAGGCTTAACCATGACATAGGTGAAAATAGAAATGACTGCTTCATGATATTTGCGAATTAAATCAAGCTTGGAAAGAGAGCAAAAATATTGGATTTGACAGGATCTCAGTAGGTTAAAAGGATGAGCTCAAGTGGACAAGATGAACTTTAATAGGGGTAAGTACAGAGTCCTGAACTGAGGTTAAAACAAATCAGTTATGAAGCATAGCATAGGAGACCTCACTAAATAGCAGCTTGTGTGAAAAAAAGATGTAGAAAAAAGACTTGAAGGAAAAAAGTGGCAAATCAAGTGAAATTTGTGAATCGTTTAATAAAATACAGTGTCCATAATACACAAGATTGTTATCCCATTAGCAGATACTACTGTGCATTCATCGTCTATGATGTCCTAGAATTAGCCAGTTTTAAAAAGAGACCTAGTTACTCTCAATGTCTGAATCTTTGTGACCCCAAGGACTGCAGCTCGCATGCTTCCCTGTCCTTCACTATTTCCTGGAGTTTGCTCAAATTCATGGCCATTGAGTCAGTGACTCTATATAATTACCTCATCTTCTGCTACCATTTCCACCATTTGCCTTCAATCTTTCCCTAGCTCAGCTGGTGAAGAATCTGCCTGCAATGCAGGAGACCTGGGATCAATCCCTGGGTTGGGAAGATCCCCTGGAGAAGGAAAAGGCTACCCACTCCAGTATTCTGTCTGGAGAATCCCCTGGACTATATAGTCCACAGGGTCGCAAAAAGTCAGACACAACTGAGCGACTTTCACACACACACTTTCCCAGCATCAGGGTCTTTTTTCAGTGAGCCCAGTCTTCACATTATGTGGCCAAAGTATTGGAGCTTTAGCTTCAACATCAGTCCCTACAATGAATACTTTGGGTTGATTTCCTTTAGGAGTGACTGGTTTGATCTCCTTGCTGTCCAAGGTACTCTCAAGAGTTTCTCCAGCACCACAATTCAAAAGTATCAAATTTTTGGTGCTCAGCCTTCTTTAGGGTCCAACTCTCACATTTGTACTTGACTACTGGAAAAACCATAGCTTTGACTACACTCTTAGTGAAGAATGATACTTAAAAACTAAGATCTGGCTGCCAAGCATGCTCTTTTGTTATTGGCATGTTGTAGCTCTCAAGTTCTCTCAGTGTGTAGAATTATCTTAAAAATTATTTTCTAAGTCACAGTCCTGGCCAAAGGGCTCCCTGTAGAAGCGGTTGAACACAAACACACACCCATCCACTTCTTTCTCTACCCAGCTATGTACATGAGACCAGAGTACCTCCAAGACCCAATCATTAGCTCTGGATCATTCTAATTTTTGCATTTACTGATCTCTTCCCCAAAGGCGAGATAATTATATTGGTTTTACTGGCCATGCTATATTAGCCATGCTAACCCTACAAACTGCAGAAATTAATCATCCATCACTGCCCCCATTTCTTTATTGAAAACCCTCCTTACTCGATCAGCTTCCCATTCTCTTCTCAGGGTTGCTGTCTCTGTCTTAAAACAGGCACACCCTTTTACCAAGCCTGAGCTCCAACACCTCACACTGAACAAATGAAAACCGTTTAACTCCATTTACTACATTCAATGTCAAACATCATATGCTGGGTTGCCGTGCCCTACCCCATCCACATAAAAATGCCCACTTTGCTCAGATGTGAAAAATGAAAGTGAAAGTCACTCAGTCGTGTCCGACTCTTTGCGACCCCATGGACTGTAGCCCATTAGGCTCCTCTGTCCATGGAACTTTCCAGGCAAGAATACTGCAGTGGACTGCCTCCATTTCTTTCCAGGGGATGTTTCCAACCCAAGGATTGAACCTGGGTCTCCTGCATTGTAGGCAAATTGTTTACCATCTGAGCCACTAGGGAACCCAGATGTTAGGATGTAATTATTCAGGAGAGAAAAAAAAGGAAGGAAGAAAGGAAGGAAGGAAGGAAGGGAAGAATACAGAATATATTTTTCAAAGTAAAAATGTAGCTTTTTCTTTTCTCACTGTATATGTAGTACAAAATTTCACCCTAATTTGCTTGCTTTAATTTATCATTCTTTAGGAGCAAAGTAATATGTTACAGGATAAAATATGGTAAGTCAAATGATCTTGACCTTTTACTAGGTCACATAGGCCAATGAAATATTAAACTGTGGTATTAACAAATATTTTGAAATATTTCAATTTCTATATAATGTTTCTCATATTTTATTTAAAATCAAATTATACATTCAGTGTTTGAATTCTGTAGGAAAGGCTAACTATTATAAGCACTAAATAAAGGAGTCTCATCAAAGGAATTATATTTATTAATGTTGATATTTAGATATATGTTTCCTACCCAAGACACAGTGTCCAATTCAATTTTATAGGTTCATAACAATTTCTGATGAATGAATCTTTTTCTGAAACAAAGTTTTAGCCTGTATTCATCACAAACTTTTGGAATATGAGGACAATTGGAGCATTTGTTATAGTTCCAATGACATAATAACTCTTATCATGAATACACATTTTCTAATTTTATCATGTTAGTTGCTCAGTCATGTTTATGACTCATTGTGACTCCATGCTTTTTAATTATAATTGGAAAGAGGGAAACTCACTAATTTCATAGATTCATTAGAAGGATATGTATAAAATATCTTAATGAAAAATATTACTGTAATATGAGATATGAAACTACATAGATATTATGTAATGAATTTAATAAGACTTTAAACCTCATCAGTATAATGTTCTATATTTCATAGTTTCTTGAATTATGAATTTCCAAAAACTAAAAAAAAATAAGAAAAGGTCATTTATCAAGTTCTATCTTATAGAAAATGAGGTCATTTTTCAAAAAAGCAATATATAATAGTACATCAATGTTAATACAATTATATTAGCTATAATATACATAGTAATCATATGTCTAGCTATTATTTATAAATAGTTTCTACTCATTACAAAGATATTTGCCTAATTTTCTAAAGCTTGGAGTTAACATGAGTAGTGGATGCTTCTCATCACTACAGTTAATACTTTAATTTATTATAAATGAATTTAATGTGATTTAACACATTTCATTTCCTAGAATTTAGTTTGCTTGTACAAAGATTTATTCATATGCCTAACTGCATGCAGTCTACTTCCAATGATTTTCATTGAGATTAGTTTTCTAATGATCCTGGTAGACAGTACACACTGGTTTATATTCTCCCTTATTTCATCATTTTCTGCCTATTTTCCTTTCTATCTTAACTTCCTATAATCTTAATTTTTTCCTTATCGTTTCCTTCCCTAAAACCTTTCCACAGAGCCCTTCTCTTCCTTTACCCCTAATGTAGTAAAATAAAACTTGAATTGGAGAAGAGCAGGTTTTCCAGTTACATAATAATTTGATTATTATTAGCTTCATAACTTTTAAATTTCCCTTTTGATCTTCACAACTAATGAGTTTAAGATATATCTACATATCAAAAGAAATACTTCATAACAATATAAAATTATAGTTACATAATTTAACTTTTCTTTGAAAAAGTTTTAAAATATTTTCATGGAAGTTGTTTATTCTATTAAAATATAATATGACAGTGATTTTCTGATATTTCTTTACCTGGACCTAGAAGATAATAAATTATATTTATATCATCTGAACTTTGCAAAGTATAAAAATGGATATTTCCATATTTCTAATCAGTCTTGTACTGATGGCAAAATCTATATGTGTTTATATAAACACATAAATATAAATATATATATAATATAAAGAAAAACATAAGGTAAACTTTAATCTGCACAATATTATATCTATATATTTTAAGCTTTAAGGGAAGAACTGGAATGCTTTTATATATACAACATGAAACATATTTCAGCAAGTTACATAACTCTAAATTTTAACAATAAAATTACTATTTATTCTTTCAATTTTAGAATTTTAAAACAGATTAATTTTATTTTCTCTAAAGATATATTTTATTGCTATTTTTTGACAAGACTCTTACTTTACATGAATATAGTTTGATTTCTTAAGACATATGTTTCCTAACACTTTTGTAGATGTGTCATATATAAAGTTGGGGGAATCAGAATCAGAATGAAAATTAATCTTGATTACTGAATACAATCTAAGCCCTCACTGTATCATATAGAACTGTTACAATTTTTTAAGCACCAGTTCTATCTTTCTCATAGTAACCTGTATGAGGATTATGAAAATATAAAAACTATTTACTTTAGGAAATATTTTATGAGATATCAGAAATTACTGTGTTATACTTACCAGCCAAAGCAAGAATATACTCTTGAAATCTTGTTCCTATACGATTAGTAGCTGTGCAATTATATCGTCCAAAGTCATTATCGGATGTAGGTGCGATCTAAAATAATTATAATAATAAAAGTTTCACAATTTTAAAACAATATCACAGAAGTTTCAAGATAGTCTCTAGCATCACTACAATCTTCATATATATACGATTACTGAGAACTCCTTGCCATAGTTCTGTATCAAGTAAGCATTCTCTCTTTTTAAGATATAATCCATAGTTCTGTACTATCCATGTGTGTGCATGTGCTTAGCCGTTCAGTCCTGTTCCACTCTATGTGACCCCATGGACTCTAACGCATCATAGGACCAGGTAAATTACAGTTATTCTATTGATTTATTAAGTAGATAAATACTACCATTTTGTTACATATTTTGAATAGAAAAATCATTAGATATTGATATAAGCAAAGTTCAGAAAATAGAACGATTGAAAAATATGTATTCTGCAATTGCTACAAGCTTGACTTTGAAAACAGGAATCTTGTAACAAAAGCATTGTTAACTCTGTTTTCTACCTTGCTGTCTTCGATCAGGCAGGTTTAAAGCTCAAGGAAGGTTCAAAATATGACAGCTTTCTCTTCCTCTTATGATTTTATTAAACATAAAATATTAAGAAAGGGTGAGGATCTATTAAAATAAAAATCTTTCCAGGAAGGTATTTTGCAAGAAAATATTTCCAAGTGTACCAATCCCTGTTGGCAGGCACATTATCTTGAAATCTAATAACAGTATCTTGCCCCTATTGCTGTTCAATTCCTATCATTCTCTTTCAGTGTAGGTGGAAAATAGTTGACCTCAGTCCTTACACATTTGAAATACATAATTAGGTTAACCTTCTTGGATTCTACTGTTGAACAGTGGGACCAACCCTGTAATTCTAATGTACCAAAATTCTGAAGTATCAATTCAGAAAAGAGATTTGGTGATTGTAAAGATATAATTTTCAATTCCAGTAACTATTATTAAGAGAGAATAAGCTTACAACAGAGTTGCTGCTAATTTCAAGTCTATCCCAAAAGGGGGAAATGGTTTTGGGATAATGGGATGCTATTAACTAAAAGTGCAATTTGGAGGTCCATTGAAGATGATAATTCTGAAAGGGTACAAAAAGTGGTGTCATTCATTTTCTAGTCAGCTGTCTATCTAGGAATAGATCATAGCTTTAAGGACTAGAAACTTTAACAGCTCATATATAAGTACTTTTCAGTGACTAAAATATTAATTTTTCATACATTCAGGTTATAATAAACCAGGTTAACTTAACTAGAAAATAATTTTACTATTCAGAAAGAAATTTTACTAAAAAAATCTTTATTCTACAGATATATGAGAAAGCCATTTGTACATCCCAAAGGAAAGACTGTGTACTGAATAAAGGCAATGCAAATGCAGGATGGCCATGACAAAGAATCCTGACTATTATACAGTACCTCAAGACCAATAAAGTAACTTAAATATACCTATTTTAACTGGAACATTTTAAAAGGTTCAGTTCAGCTTTGCTTTTATGTTCCCGGGAGCTCACTTATCAAAAGACAAAGGCTTTGTAATTCTAGCTGAAATAAGTTATCTCTTTATCATGCTCTATGATTAACAAATAGAGAAACTATCCCTAGTAGCACAGACTATTAAAAAAACACAGGTTAGACAACTGGGCCAAATCATGTCCCCTCCAGCCTATTTAGTGTATTACTAGGAAAGCAGTAAAGTCCAATAAGTGGTTTTCAAAAGTTTAATGCCAGCACAGTGAAATAATATATAATTTTATCAAAATACATAATAATATATAACAAAGGTATATAATTCATATTTATTTAACATATATTCATATTAACCATGTTTGATATATAAAATATTACTTATATTTATTCAATAAGTACTAGAAACATCTACTTATGATACTACTTCTTCACATTTTAATATGCAATTAAAATAATTCAAGTTTACTTCAGATGTTGGGCTTTGATAGAATATAATAAATTACCAAGTGTAGTTTTGAACACCAAAATATAAACTGAGAGAACAATGTTAATAAAGGAATTTGTAAGCTCTTTCCGAAACCCTTAAGGGCAGGATATTATTCCAATCTGCCTATTAGAAACTTTCTGAATCAAATTTTCTCATATATTAAAAAGCTATCCTAGTACCTCAGGGGAGCACCTAGGGAAAACAAATGACAAAATCTGTAAGGCCTTGAGTATTACATTTATTGGCAAGAACCAAAAGGATTTATAAAATGTTTTGTTATTTTTAAAAATTCACATTAGAAACTGAGTATATGTATGTAATCAAAGAAAAATGTTGTTAATTCAAGGAATCTACTATTAACCAGATTATTATTTAATTGTAAAATTTATTTTATTTTTATATGTTCTTAAGTATTAGCAATTATGTAACTACTATAATAATTAATAGAGAAAAATCATAATGTACATCCTAAGGGACTATGTATGCTACTAATTCAAAATTAGTAATATTATTACTGCTTTTTATTGTTGTTATTATTATTTTGTTTTTTTGTGTGTTTTAAGTTGTTTTTGTTACACATTTGTATTATTTATTCAGGATTGAAACTTAATTTTTGAAAATAGTATACACATAAAAAGTTTACGCTCAAGGTCAGTGCCCTAAGAAACAGATTACTTGGCTACATATAGACAAACATTGCTTAGTTTTTACTTTTGTATTGAGAGAAATGGCATTCTAGCAGAAATGACATGAGAACTTTATATTAATAAAATATTTAAACGTCAATTTAAAAATTGTTGCTTATATCAACTATGGAGAATTATGAGTTACTCCAGAAACTGAAAAGTGTCAAGATGAAGTAAAGCTGAAATTACAGATTAGTCTGTCATTTAAACTTGAACGTAAATCTACCTGTTATGGACTGAATCATGGCTATTGACAAAATTCAAATGCTGAAACCCTAATCTCTAATGTGACTGTGTTTGGGGCCACAAGAGTGGGGCCTGGCATCCTTATAAGAGGAAAAGACCCCGGGGCATTTTCTCTTCTTTCTCTGCCTAGTCTGAGGGGAGGTTATACTAGTAACAGGGAGAGAACACCCACCTGCAAACCAAGGAGAGGCTTGCAATAAACCAGTCCTTCTGGCACCTGGACACTGGACTTCTAGTTTCCAGAAATGTGTGAAAAAATAGTTTATATTTTTTAAGCCACTCAAGTCTGTGCTATTTTGTTATGGCAGCCCTAGTACACTCATACACTACCCCAAATCTAACCTCAATTTTCTACTATGGGTAAATACCAAAAATTGCAGTTGAATCTGGTCAAAAGTCTTTGTGAAACTGAGTTCTCTGTCAATTTGCCAATAAATACTTCTAATACAGATACCAAAAAAAAAATGCATTTGAAATAGATTTAGACAAAGTTTTCTGATAATCAGTCAATTATCCAAACATTTGGCAGAAGTGATATTGAAATCATCCCATCAAACAAATGTTTTACTAAGTCCAGTTACTAGGTGAAAGAGTTAATAGGGTACCTGTGAGAGCACCTTTAAGTTAATGCAATAAAGATATCAAATGTTATTCTAAAACAAACATTATTACAATGTATGTATATTGAACTAGTAGAGAAAATACAACATCTTTCTAGCTAAACGTGAGATTTGAGAAAGATTCTCAATTGTTATGAAATCATCATACATTAGAAGGGCTGATGATCATAGGTAAACTTTGGAAATTGATATGCAAACATAATCTATAATTAATAAATAAAATATATTTTATTCAAACAGAATTTAAAGGCCAGGCACTCAGCAGTATAAAAACAATTATCTACAATCTTAAATGAGGCAATGAACAAGCAAATCTGGTTTATTTAGGAACGTGTAAATATGTAGCCAGCTGATAGCATTTATGCCAGTCTAGGAAGCAGGATGATGTAATCACAAACTCAATGCCTGGTAGCAACACTGAAATTGAACTTTTGGCCCTCAATAACTGACAAACTATTCATTCTTTCTCCCTACTATTTCCTGATACAATTGGTTTTTTCAAATATAAATTCATGAAAAATAATGATGTTTGCTATATAGCCATATATCTATATAAGTAAGCCCATATTAGCAAATAGTGGGACACTAACCATTAATGGACAATGATCCAAATGCATAAAATTTCTCTTTAAGCAAATAAACATGAAATATATACAATATGGTATATGTATATTAAAGAATTATAGATAATTTATATATCAGGATATTTAAATATATTCTAAAATAGTAGATAACTGCCAAAATAATACAATTTGTTGATATAAAATGAGAACTTACCTCTAATATTATTTTTCTCCCTGTACTATATGTCTTTAAATTAGTGGTGTTTTTAGCTGGCAAGACTAATTTCTCTCTTCTCCAATGGACTGATGCTGGTGGATTCGATTTCACATCACAGCTTATATTTATTGGATTTCCTTCCCAAGAGTAATAAATTGTTTGATTTGATATGAACTTGGGAGCATCTGTAAGGCAATATAATATAACATTATAGACCTTTCCTTTAAGATAGTCATTTAATTAGTATAAACAATAGTAATCATTATTGACTACAAAAAAAGCCACCATAATTCTAATTGTATATATTTAACATGTGAAATTAGAACTCATGAAAATATATCATTTGCTGGTTCAACAAATCATTTTAATATAAAGTATTCAAAGTTGGCCAATTATTAAAATATGAAATATTAACACAGTTGTTTGCTTTTAATAATCTGACAAACATTTCCATCCAGTAAATTAATGGTTCCCTACATTAGCGAAATATATTTCTGGAACAACTCACATTATAAGTGAGAGTTTAGGATAAAACTTAATAAAATCTATGGTCTTATGTCATTTTTAAGCCTTGGCTTGGTTATGTAATTTCTCCTATAAAAAACTTAAAGCAGATAAAAAATTTAAATTGAAATGGCAATGTCACAACAAATATTTCCTAAAATGTCTTTTCCAGTATTAAATAAGCAGGTATGTTTAAAGTAATCAATAATAGTTAATTTGAATGTTAGCTCCTATAATGCTATTTCAATTTTCAGGCCCCTACACCAGACCATTATAATTATAGGTGAGAGAAAACAGAAAAAATATATATTATTTCATTGTAGAAAGCTAACTGCAAAACCGAGTTGTGCTACATAGACATGTTTTTTGTTTTGTTCCATTCTAGAAGTATGATGGAGGCCAAATGCCAATCAACTATGACTTTTCTGAGTCTCAATAGCTTGACTGTATAATTGAAAGGATTCATATTTATAATTTTTTCATAAAAAACATAACCCTAAAATAAGTGCTAAGATTATGGCATCCAGTCCCATAACTTCATGGTAAATTGATGGTGAAACAATGGAAACAGTGACAGACTTTATTTTCCTGGGCTCTAAAATCACTGCAGATGGTAACTGCAGCCATGAAATTAAAAGACATTTGCTCCTTGGAAGAAAAACTATGACAAACCTAGATAGCATATTAAAAAGCAGAGACATTACTTTATCAACAAATGTTCATATAGTCAAAGATACGTTTTTTTCCAGTAGCAATGGATAGATGTGAGTTGGACCATAAAGAAAGCAGAGCACCAAAGAATTGATGCTTTTGAACTGTGATGTTGGAGAAGACTCTTGAGAGTCCCTTGGACATCAAGGGTATCAAACCAGTTAATTCTATAGGAAATCAGTACTGAATATTCATTTTAAGGACTGATATTGAAGCTGAAGCTCCAATATTTTGACCACCTGATGCAAAGAACTGACTCACTGGAGAAGACCCTGATGCTGGGAAAGATTGAGAGCAGGAGGAGAAGGGGATGACAGAGTCTGAGATGGTTGGACAGCTTCACTGACTCGATGGACATGAGTTTGAGTAAGCTCTGGAAGTTGGTGATGGACAGGGAAGCCTGGTGCGCTGCAGCCCATGGGGTTGCAAAGAGTCAGATTTGACTGAGCAACTGAACTGAACTGAAACTAAGTGCTAGTTAAAATGCTGCTGATATATTTGTTGTTGTTGTTGTTCCTGGTATTTAAACTGATTATTCCTGTTACTAATATTAACTATTTAGAATTTAATAACCCTTATAAGTTATTAATTTAAAATTGTATGAATTAAAAGTTTTGCTTTATCACTCAAATTACATAATAATGACCTGCTCCCAATTTTGTTATATCAACAGATTATATAGCAGATATGTAATGTAAGAATTACAATCTCTGGTACAAATGCATAGATAATCATTTAAATATTCTTGTCCTATGTATGTTTTACTGTATGTTTTTAATGCCAATATCATATAGAAGTATGAAATTCTTATTGAATACTTTCTATATGACAGTAAGCTTATACATTTTATTCTATGGAATATTTTTACTAACCTGTGAGGAAGGTGTTACTCTGTTCTTAAGAATGAGGGCTCTGGAGCAAGAGCTATCAAGCTTATTCTAGTACTAAGTTGTAGGTATGGGATGATCTGGGGTAATTTTAACCAGGGTCAGTTGGATTTCTATTCAACCCAGGAACAGATTTATAATATCAAGTACTAGCAACATTTTGGTTATGTAGACTTTATCATACATTACTGAAGAGAAAAAAAAAATTGGGACAATTCCTCAGAAACACAAAAGCCTTAAGATTCTGTAGTGTAGTCTTAAATATCTCTCCAGAGAAAAGAAGTATAAGCATTATCAAATGTTAATATACAGGACTTTTAGCACATTGTTTTAATAATAAAGTTCAAAACAACTTAATGGCTCTCAAAGAAGGACTGGATAAACAGTGACTCATATTGGCACTTGGCTAAATATTACAGACATATCTGCTAGTGGTTTTCCCTCAACTTGCAACGTGCCTACCCTTCCCTCTACTTGGCTGCCTTCAAAACTAAGCTCCACACTAACTTAACATAGCTTTTCCACAACATTCAGTTGTGGGTTAGGTTCACTGCTTTGTGTTCCCACAGATCCTATTCTTTCCCTCATCATGGTAGTAGGAAATGGAATTGTTAGGAAGGAAGTTATGCATGAGCAATGAGGAATGGCCTGGCTGAAGGTGATACAGATTGGTCTCTGAAACCCATCCCAGACACACCCCAGGAGAACTCACAGATATGCTACAAAACAACCAGAGACTTCTCCAACTCCTGCATTTGGACCCTAGACACACAGTGGATGCAGCCTAATCACAGAAGCTCCTCCAAGTAACCTTTCATTGCAACGAGCCCATTAAGGGTTTGTAAAATTCTACATCTGATTATAACAGACTGAGTGGGCCTTCCCTGGTGGCTCAGATGGTAAAGAATATTTCTGCAATGTGGGTTTGATCCCTGGGTTGGAAAGATCCCCTGGAGAAGGGAATAGCAACCCACTCTGGTGTTCTTCCTGGAGAATCCGATGGACAGAGGAGACTGTAGGGCTATAGTTCAGTTCAGTTCAGTTCAGTCGCTCAGTCGTGTCCAACTCTTTGTGACTTCATGAACCACAGCACACCACGCATCCCTGTCCAAGGCCAACTCCCGGAGCCTAACAAACTCATGTCCATTGAGTTGGTGATGCCATCCAAACATCTCATCCTCTGTCATCACCTTCTCCTCCTGCTCTCAATCGTTCCCAGCATCAGGGTCTTTTCACATGAGTCAACTCCACATCTGGTGGCCAAAGTATTGGAGCTTCAGCTTCAACATCAGTCCTTTCAATGAACACCCAGGACTGATCTCCTTTATGGTGGACTGGTTGGATCTCCTTGCAGTCCAAGGGACTCTCAAGAGTTTTCTTCAACACCACAGTTCAAAAGCATCAATTCTTCAGTGCTCAACTTTCTTTATAGTGCAACTCTCATACCCATACACGACCACTGGAAAAACTATAGCCTTGACTAGACGGACCTTTGTTGACAAGGTAATGTCTCTGCTTTTTAATATGCTATCTAGGTTGGTCATAACTTTCCTTCCAAGGATTGTAATTTCATGGCTGGAATCACCATCCGCAGTGATTTTGGAGCCCCCAAAATTAAGTAAGCCACTGTTTCCCCACCTATTTGCCATGAAGTGATGGGACCAGATGCCATGATCTTAGTTTTCTGAATATTGAGCTTTAAGTTAACTTTTTCACCCTCCTCTTTCACTTTCATCAAGAGGCTCTTTAGTTCTTCTTCACTTTCTGCCATAAGGGTGGTGTCATCTGCATATCTGAGGTTATTGATATTTCTCCCAGCAATCTTGATTCCAGCTTGTGCTTCATCCAGCCCAGCATTTCTCATGATGTACTCTGCATATAAGTTAAATAAGCAGGGTGACAATATACAGCCTTGATGTACTCCTTTTCCTATTTGGAACCAGTCTGTTGTTCCATGTACAGTTCTAACTGTAGCTTCCTGACCTGCAAACAGATTTCACAAGAGGCAGGTCAGGTGGTCTGGTATTCCCATCTCTTTTAGAATTTTCCACAGTTTATTGTGATCCACACAGTCAAAGGCTTTGGCATAATCAATAAAGCAGAAATAGATGTTTTTCTGGAACTCTCTTGCTTTTTTGATGATCCAGCGGATGTTGGCAATTTGATCTTTGGTTCCTCTGCCTTTTCTAAAACCAGCTTGACCATCTGGAAGGTCATGGTTCATGTATTGCTGAAGCCTGGCTTGGAGAATTTTAAGTATCACTGACTAGCATGTGAGATGAGTGCAATTGTGCGGTAGTTTCAACATTCTTTGGCATGGCCTTTCTTTGGGATTGGAATGAAAACTGACCTTTTCCAGTCTTGTGGCCACTGCTGAGATTTCCAAATTTGCTAACATACTGAGTTCAGCACTTTTACAGCATCATCTTTTAGGATTTGAAATAGCTCAATTAGAATTCCATCACCTCCACTAGCTTTGTTCATGGGGTTGCAAAGAGTCAGACATGACTGAGCAACTAACACATAACAGACTGAATATGGGAAGACATAGCCTACAGAGCCTGCTGTTACTTAACTTGTAATTTTATCAATCGGTCTTGAGCATATGCCCATTTGTCTTCCCTTTCATTGATTGGTAGTGGGTACAAGCCCTATTTTGCACAGGACATAACCAAAAGGAGGAGACTGGAAGTATAAAAAGGGTGAAGCCAAGAGGGAAAAGAGAACTCCTTTGGGGTAAGCCTGCCCACGTATGTTGGAAGTGTCTTCTGTCTGTCTGAGCTGACTGAGCTGTAATCTGCATGTTGTTTTAAAACCTGTAGTCCTGTATTTTATATTTTGTTGCAATGAGGCAAGAACCAAGAAAGAGGAATTAACTGACCTGACAAAATGACCTATATGATTAATTCTCTACCAAGTGGTCTAAATCTTTGGGGTTTAACAGATAAAGAATATATGGTATTTATATATTATATATATAAAACTCAGCCTTAAAAAAGAATGAAATTTTTCCATCTGTAACAACTTGGATGAACCTACAGGATATTGTGCTAAGGGAACTAAGTCAGACAGAGAAAGACAAA